GTCAACACATAATTGCATGATTAAACATTATAAATTCTATACATTTCATTATACAGGGTGTCCCAAAAGTTTCCATACATATAAAGATGAAATGTAACTTTATTCACAAAACATTAAATTGTCAGCATTAAGATTTGGATTGATGGAGTAAGGCAATGGAACACATGGGTGATCTGCTGATGCGGGCAGAAGAACGACAAAGATGCCAACTTCACATTCAGAACTCCAGTTTCCCCATAGGAAGTCCTGCTAGCAGGACTTCCTATGTGGAAACTGTTTATGTGTTAGACACACAAAGAAAACCCAAACCTGCATGGAAGCCAGCCCTTTGGTCAGGCGCAAACCATTGACTAACTACCAGTGTTCGACACTTTTATTTATTCAGCCACTGGTGGGCTCGATTTGTGTCAATGTACGGAGACTTTTGGGACATCCCATATAACCACTACTACAGTGTGTGTCTAATTTACAAGATGAAGCATTTGATAGAAAGAGTGCTGACCAATATTTCCAAGAAGAAAATAGTCTAATTCCAAATGTGATGACATCGAATTCTCATGCACTGTGATTAGATGGCTTGTAGATTCTTGCCTCCATTTTGTTTGTTTCATTCACAATGTGTATTTGTTTGTTAGAAGTAATGTCGTTCGTTCTAATGTGACTATGCACTTAATTAACTTTTATCTCTTTATTAGAAACTCCTTTATCAGATCATTTCGAACAAAGATAATTATTTACAATCTGTACATGGGGCATTTTTCTTAATTTGTTTACAGAGACATTATTTTACATATGAAAAACTTATTTTAAAATGGAATTTTAGTTACGATTTCGTTGTGAAACTGTCCAGAGTATCGTTTGTTTACATTCATTGGTTAATCTTTACCTATGTGCATCATCAAGGTCGCACAGTGGGGACCCACGCTCTAACCTAACCTATTCTATTTATTAGAATAGGTTAGGTTAGGTTAGAACGTGGGTGCACATAGGTAAAGATTGACCCATTCGTTTAATGTGTATCGAGTACTGATACTATACTACAACAATCTAAAATAAAGATAAAATTCAAATTACCTGAATAGCATAATGAAAGTCAAGGCAACCGGCTTTTTTTAGAAAACTTTCTACGGGATCGTCTTCAGTTAAAACTTTTCCGTGAGGACTAAAATCTGCCATTTTAATTAAAAATTCTAAATGAATAAACACGCTTTCAACCACGTGCTCTCGACCTTCCGACAAACAGCTAGAGCCTGAGCGAGCGTTAATGTCAATTTCTTCCGCACCGTGGCGCGTACGGAATGACGAGCATATAGCCCAGGGGTGAGGAACCTTTTCTCATTTGAAGGCGAACATCCTTCCAAGAAAGCATTCTAAAAGAAAAGAAAAAAAATTACTGCAAACTGCAAATAGTTTAATACTAATTTAGCTTTCATACAGAATTTACTCTTTTCAAGTATCTTAAACTGTACTTCCATACGGCAGAGTTATCGCGGTAAGATAACGGTTTTTACCGATAATCATTTCTTAGTGGAATCGCCATATTGCCAAAATTAGTTCACATATGTTAATTAATCAATGTCATATATATATAACAATATGAAAACTTGTTTAAATTAATTAAGAAGGCCGCAGGCACTCCAATCCTGGTCTAGCCCCTGAGCGAGTATTAGTTCTAAATTATGCCGCTATCGACGAACAGCGCCAATGGCGGTTGCTTGTGTATAGAGGTATTGATGCTAACTTATTCAATTTTGGTGGTTAAAGATCGAGTGGGTAAGGAGATGGAGAAAGTCGTGTCTCACATCTCGAGTAGGATCGAACTTAATGAAGATTTTACTCGTTATTAGCATTTGAATTTTTTTACAAAACACATTCCTACTCTCAAAATTAAACTTTTTGCCATTTTATAATAATTAAAAACATAGAAAGTTTTTTATAACAAAATCTCGTAACAGATGGCGCCGCGAAAAATTAATTAATCATAATAAATTAAATTACAGTATAACTTATTTTTTAAATAAAATTTCACGATAGCCGGAAAAGTTACGCAACTCGTTTCTGATTTTTTAAAATTATTTCTTAATAAGTAAAACGAAATTTAAATATCACAAAATAATTTATTGAAAATTAGTATTGTTTGAAAGACCGACATTCGAACAATACTAATTTCGAATAATACTAAATCAAACGCGTTCAAAATTCGCGTTCTACAATCTTCCTAAGTTCAGCCAAGCGTCATTTTTGAATTTAGTAACAGAATTAGTTTTAACTTTCATATATTTTAATTGTATTGTTAACTGATTACCAACCAAGCATCATGTGATGAAGCGGCCGGCACAGAGTCTCACAGTGAGATTCTAGAGTGAGAACAATTATGAGCAGTGCTACTATTTCTAGGGTAATTTCAACCTCTCAGGGTAATGTTTAGATTAGTCTTATATTTAGGGTAAATCTACCCTGTGATCTGATGCTATTACCCATCGTGCAACAAGTTTCGCCGGAAAAAGTTTTAGCCTAAAACCGTTCTGTTTTCCCCTATCTGGAGGGTTTTAGGATAGGACAACAGAAGCTAAAGAAATAAAGCAGATTGGTGCTAGGTACACGGGTGTACACTGTATATTACACCCGAATAGGATTCCGCTTTTCTCAACCTTCATGCCATTGGGCCATTGGCACTCTCCATGTTAGATGTAAATTAATACCTCAGATAAAGCCTAAAAATCTTAAGACATTTTAGTTTTTAAAAACAATGAATTAGGAATTATTCTGATTATTATTTTACAATAATAGTACAGGGATCTGCGTCATAGAATCGTTTGTCTTTTTTTTTATCTGAGCACGAGCTCGGAGTTTTCTCAATTTAGGGTAATCTAGAATAAAACGAAGGCGCCATCAGGGTAGTTCCGCCAGAAGCAGGCGGCAGCACTGATCATGAGTCATATGACTCATAGAAACTCCTATTCGTCGCTGAAACTCTACTGACCAACATGGACAGACTTTAAATTTTCTCCCCAAACTGTTTCTTTCCCTAAATTTCCTCCATCTTGCTAATTTCTCCCTAAATTTAGCAGAAAACCCTTCATTTGTCTTCACTGTGAATTTTTAATACTTGTAGACATAATTTGCCCATGTAGGGATCACCATTTATTTGTTTTCTGCGTTTAAGACAATACATTTTCGGCGACCGACCTTTCTTTCTAGGCTACTAGCCGCCAAAATATTTTAAAAAGTCCATTTAAAAATACACAAAAAACTTCCAATTAAAAATACAAAATTTTCTAAAATCGGAACTGGTGATTTACGAACGTCTTTCCTTTTTTACCATCTGTACCCTTTGGGTGTTTCAGCCTTTTATCCACAGATAAGTGAGCGCTGGAAAATGTAGATCAAAAAGCTTCCCCCTGGTGACGATACTTTGTAGTCATAATTTGTAAGTTTGTTTCGTCCGATGGTTCTTTTCAGTTTTTAATACTTGTAGACATAATTCGCCCATGTAGGGATCACCATTTATGGGCGAATTATGTCTACAAGTATTAAAAACTGAAAAGAACCATCGGACGAAACAAACCTTCACTGTGAATACCGGGAGTCAATCCATTCATTCATTGGCACTAGACCCCGAGTAAGCATTAGTTCTAAATTATGGCACAACTAAAAGACTATAGTCGAATGGAGAGAGGCCAATATCATTAGCGCACTATACTCCTTCATATTAGAAAACAGTGAAGTAAAAATTGAAATTTATAAAAGCAAATTTATTAATTGTTGCATTAATGCCAGAGATGCAGAGGGGTTATGTTGACGAGATAATCATTCTTATGCCTTTTATATAACGTAGAATTATAAAAATATCAAAATTGACTTAATATCTTTCTCTGTTCTTATTTTTTTTTTCCATTACAGATTCTAATTACGTAAAAAGTTATGTCAAAGTATTGTTAATCATACATACTGTACATCATCTGCGATTTCACAGATGTAAGACCGAATCACCTGTAAAACGAAAAAGAAATGAGAATTACAAGTACTTACAGAGTATCCTGGCAATCTTCAGAAATCTAGTCGAGATACCATCTCTAAACATGTATCTGGATTTATATGCCCGATAATTGGTGGCATACCTTTTAATGTTTACACATTCTTGGGTACAATAGCCGTAAGTTTCTTGTTGCTGATTGGGAAATTCATTCATCGATAGTGGTGTTGGAAGAATTCTCAGAAGAGGAAACTGTATGCTTATTGATCTGACTTACCTGAATTTAGCAAAACAGTAAAAACAAAAAAAAGTTGTTCATATAAAATCTCCTAAATAAAACGAGCAATTATTTATTGTCTTTTTCCAAAACCATGCCTTCTTTTCTTGTTAATCTTTACCACACAACTAGGTGACAGGTAGACACTATGTTGTTTTTACATTACACTTTATTCTACAATATCTTAGACGCCGATCATATATTTATTGTGACATCGTCACAATTTTTAATCATATTTTTTAATTTTATTTAATTTAAAATATATGTTCTCCACCTCAAATTAGTATCTCTTGCTCCTGTACACCATACTTTTCCGAATTTATTTGAAGATATCCATTGCTGTTTAATTTTTTTTTTTTTTAATTTCTAAGAAAATATATTAATTCTATTAGGCCTATTATGAAGTAATGTTTGACATTTACTTCCAAAGAGAGCCATTCTGCTCTTTTTTCATAAATTAATAATTTAAAAAATTCTTTATGACCATAGAGGTTGGTTGATTTATTTCAATTTTAATTTTTTGGAAGAGGAACATTATATTGCCTCGAGTTAGTCTGTTAACCTGGATGAGGAACTAATGCCCTTTAAACTACTGAATAAATAATTAGAGTAAATAGTTGAAATACTTCAACTTAAGGGCAATGATATATTCTTGTTTTTGTAGACAAAATATTTTCATAACACCTGAAAAATCCAGATCCTCAGTTATCATGAGTACCTTATAATAAGCATGAATTACGTAGTCATTATGAAATATTTAGCTGAAATAATTTATAATATTTATTAAGACAAGGAATTTTAATCATACATATTTATTGATACTAACATACAGGGTAAAAAAAATATAATGAACTTAGTAAAGTTAAATTTTTTAATTTTATACAATAATAATATGTACAATAAAATTGGAATACAAGAAATAAAATACTTTTAATTTTTATTTATGATATTACCATATTTTTATTGAAAAATTCATGTGAATCAAATACTCTGGCAATTGAAATAGCATTTTTTATGGAAATCCCCAATCACTCCCATAAAAACTGCATTCTATCGTTTCTAATCATTCAAAAGGTAGCAGTATGAGAAGACATCTTGGTCTTTTTCTTGCTTGAATGCTTTATCTCAAAAGTGAAATTAGCATCATCTTGAATGAGAAATAGCTATAACAGAAAACAGTTTGTTTAATTTTGACCAGGATTTGTTTAACCAATTTCCTTTGCCATCACAGTTACTAATCATAAGCTATTTAAAACAATTTTTGAAAATTTTTTTTAAGTTCAAAACTATCTTATCACAGACATGATACATAATATAAATAGGTTATGACGGAAAATGCAATGATTTAAATTTTTCAAATAATGCATATTACAAACTATACAACTTTACAAAATGTATGCATTACTTTCATCTCTCTTGCAGTTAAAAGGTTTGCATCATACTAAAACTGCAAGTTTAAAAACTTTAAATTACATATTTAACAAAACTTTAAATTGTTATCTTAATATTTTTATACTCTCAATGCATAATAATCATGTGCATGAAATATCAAATTCCATCAACATCAATGATTATCCACTACAAAATGAAATATTAATACTGATAAAAAATGGCAAAATTTGATAGACATTTTCTTTAAATTACTTAGAGAGACTAGAACAAATACAAGGTCTGTTAAAAAAATACACAGACTGTTTGAATTGCGTGGCTCCAGTTGATTCCAGGGAAATCTGCTTGGTGTCGCTAGGTTTGTACAGATCGCCTGGTGATAAAGCCGTTTCTTGATTACAGATATCTTTATTTGTTGATTAGTTACGCAGTTTTTAGTGAAGTGCGAATTTTTCGTTTGTCGGATTTCAGAATGAATGACCTGATGGAGCAACGACTTACTGTGAAATTTTGTGTTAAACTTGGAAAACCTGCAACTGAAACATTTGCTATGCTCAACACGGCTTACGGTGATGTTGCTATGAAGCTTACGGTATGTTTCAAGTGGTCCCCAAACCCAAAAAAGCTCACCAAGTTTGATCTAATGTCAAGGTGATGCTGATAGTTTTCTTTGATGCTAAGGGTGTTGTTCAACACGAGTACCTCCCCCAAGGCTCCACAGTGAACCAGACTTACTACATTGAAGTTCTGAAACGTCTGAGGGACATCATCCGCCGCAAAAGGCCAGAAATGTGGAGGAGTGGCGACTGGTTTCTCCATCACAACAATGCTCCAGCCCTCAGAACTCAAGAGTTTTTGGCCAAACACTTGATCACTGTTCTTCCCCACCCCTCCTACTCACCTGACCTTGCTCCTCGTGACTTTTTCTTGTTCCCCAAAATCAAAAGACCCTTGAAAGGAAGATTTGAGACGATTCCCGAGATTAAGGTAAATGCGACGAAGGTGCTGAAAGACATTACAAAAGAAGCATATCAGGACTGTTTGAACAAGTGGAAACACCGTTGGGATAAGTATGTGCATTGGGAAGGAGAGTACTTTGAAGGGGACCCAGACATGTAACTTCTACATAAAGTACATTTTGTTTTATGACGTCAGTCTGCGTATTTTTTGAACAGACCTTGTAGGTGCATAAAAAATACATCTAACTTATAAAATTAGACATATATTTTTAAGTACATAATTCAATTGAATTCTACATAATTACTCAACTTATAAAGTTATACGAAAGTTTTATCAATCAAAAACAGACAGGTAATACATTCAAATGACAAGCAATTCAAATACATCTAAATTTACAATGTGAAAATAAAACTAAATAGATTTCTTACTTTGTATTAAAAAAAAATACTAATTATATATTTGAAAATATTGTTTTTTGAATTATAAAATGTGCTAAATGCAAATATATTCAAATGTCATTGCATCAAGTACAACAATTATTATTAATGCTATGATATAATTACTTTACAACCATTTCACATGTTATAAATTTACTTCCAATTATTATATCCAAATTTTCCTTAAATGATTGCTTTGTCAAATTAATCAGGTTTCATACTTTCTGACATCTTTGTACATTGTGCGGTGCTTCATTAAACTCTTCAAGCTCTTCTCCAGGATCTGATTCTGAAGCTAACTGAAAATACTGCTCACTTCTTGTAGGCCACAATAAGTGTGTCATAATTGCAAATGCAAGAAAATCTACACTTGATGTTATACCTAAAAAATATTTTAAAATTAAAATAGTTATTTAAAGATACTTGAAAAAAAATTACATTATAATAAAATATAAAATAAAATTATATTATTTAATTTAATTAAAACAGATTTAAGTAATATAAAATTAAGTTAATGTTAAAAATCCTAAATTCAAAATATTGTTCAAATAGAATTTAAGTGTTGAGGTTAGACCACAGCAAATTATAAATAAGATTATAAATTAAATGTTAAATTTATAATAAAAATTAAAAACACAATGGACATTACAAAAAACTATATAATAATAATAATTTGCTTCATTAAAATAAAATCAGTGCAAGTTATTATATTATTAGTACAGTAGAGCGTCGATTTTCCGAAAGTCAATCATCCGAAAGAATTCCAGTCGGCAAATTTAAATTTTCGCCAGTGCTGTGGCGCTTCAATCTTTGGATATGTCTTGGGCTACTCAAATATATTATGTTTTTGATACTAAATTAACTTCTAAAGTATAAATTTTTATTATTTTTATATTTTTCAATATATTTATTTTGTTTGTACAAAATAAAAAAATAATTTTTAACGATATAATAGTCTTCATTAGGCTTAACATCGACGAAAATTCAACGCGAAGTGACACGCAACGGAGAAAAATTTTGACATCGGATACGTTAAACTATTTTTTCGTACGTAAATCAGTTATCCGGACAACCCCAGTCCCCAATTGATTCGGAAAATCAATGCTCTACTGTATTATTTATAAAATTAAATCAATCATATTTATAAAAAATCTAGCAACAAGTTGGTTGTGTAACTTTCTTAGTTGTTATGAGATTTTATTTTAAAAACTTTATATATTTTTAATTATTTTAAAATTGCAAATAACTTAAGTTTGGGGATAGAGATGAGTTTTATAAGGATCTGTAAATGTTAACAAGTAAAATTTTCATTAAGCCCATCCCCATGCAAGATATGACACATTTGAGGGGGGGAAGATAGAGAGTGACCACCCTCTATCTTCCCCCCTCAAACTTTTATCACCAAAATTTAATAGCATCAATGCCCCTTATACACAAACTATCATGTCAAATTTCGTTTCTTAATCTTCACCCCATCCTGAGATATTAAATGAAATAAACACCAACACACACATGGAATTTTTTGTCATGTTTTTTGAATTTTTGGGATTCAGGTGATCTTAAAATGTGGGGATTTGCAAAAAACTCAGAGGGTCAAATTTGACATGATTCCATTACTTTCCCTTGTTATGTATAGATAACAGCCAGGAAAGTAGAAACTAGATAACATTTGTAGCATATTTTTCTGAAAGTTATCTCTAATTAAAATCAATATACTATAATTAAATTATTCTCAAATATTTTACCTAGTAAAAGTTTCTGTCTCCAAAGAGCAGATATCTGAAGGGCAATCAAGGCAACAACAGGCAAATATATAAACCATACCAAAATTCCTGCTCCAAAATGTACATAAAATCGCAGTTTAGCTCTATCATTTTCATCCAACATAGTAGATCGTAATTCATATAAAAACCAAATCATTATAATAAGCCTGACAATGAGTGTGATCCATCCAGGAAATGTTTGATATTCATCTATATCATCTATTACATCAACTTCAGTCTGTACAGAAAAATATTCATAATTTAATGTACAGTACATTTATATTAATAAATAATTTGATAAAATTAAAAATGTAATAATTATAATAAAACTTCCTAAACTATTAAAATATTTAAAATTTAAATGTTAAAACTTATTTTTTTTATTGCATATATTTAAGATAATATATTTGATTAATTTATTTTTTCAGCTTTTAAGGTAAAGCCACAAAGTGGCCTGACAATTATTTGGGGGACTACACATTCTAAAAAAAATAAGAATCAAAGTACAATACAAATGCTTTAAAAAAGTGTAATATACAAAGCAATAAAAAATATATAATTAATTTTTATAAAATAATGCAGCAAGTAATATAATAAAGTAAATAAATAATAAAATATCAAGCATAAATATTTCTTTTATACAAAAAGGCTTTACAAAGCAATTTAAATTTGATAATGTCCAAGTCATCTTGATTGGGAGGATGACTGAAACTAATATATTGCATATGAAGACACAAAGTGTTTCTTGATAGCACATGGAGAAAGACAACATCCATTAGCAGAATTCCATTGAAATACAGTAAAACCTCAATGTAATAGATTAATTTGGGCAATGGAATGTCCAATAAAGGCAAAAGTCCAGTATAATAAAATAGGTTTTCCAAATGCATGTGTTAAAACATTGACAAATTAGTTAGTTTATCTGTTTTTACTTGTGTAGATACATTTGTGTGTTTAAAATTATGTACGTATGAGAAGTTTAATTTCACAGAAAAGTTTTATACATATATTATTACCTATAAAATCACTAATTCTGTGACTGTAATAAACACATATATGATCTAAATCAAAATAAACAAACATACATTTCTTTGAACATACGTCTTAATTGTATTTAACTAAACAAATAAATAATGGTCTTAAAAAGAAAACAAAATTTAAATTTGACAAAAACAAAGGTTATTTATTTGTGTCTTCGGATGATATAGCAAGACACTCATTGTGGCATGAAGTAAAGAGCTGGGACTCCTGAATTTGAAAAAGTATCGCCTGTTAATTTTTACACGTGACAAACAGACCAGAAATTTTGTCTGTTAAATCCGAAGTCCATTAAATCAAAGTTTACTGTATTTATAAAATAAAAACCTATCAAATTTCATTAGATAATTTTAAAAAAACTAGATTACCTCAATCTCATTCTTGCAACCTTAGTAGAATCAGATGAAGGAAGATATGAGAGTTTATCAAATAAGTAAAACTTATTCAAAGTGTTAACAACTTTTTCATGTTTAGAATAAACCACAGTTGTCCAGAATCAAAAGAAGTCAATTACAGACAAAGTTAACAAAACAAAAAATTACATAAAACACTTCCAGATGAAATAAATTGACAGTGTCTCTGCATAATGCCTTGTCTAAAGGGTTTCAATTACATTCTTTCTAATTAGAGATCTACATAGTGTAAATATTAACAAGACTGTTCTAGTGAAGCTTTATCTCAGCTCTTGGTAAGGTACTACTGATAATAGTTGGAGATATAGTGTGAATGATAGAGCTAGTTTAGACGTGTCTAGCTAGTGAGGTTTACCCAATCACAACACTAAGGAATTTGTATTGATCAAATGATTGTAAATTTGTGACTTGTGTGAACAAAATGTTCAAATACAGAAAAAGTTATTTAGAATTTTCCTGGAAAAAGGAGTCAGTCCTGGATGACCATCCCCATAAACTTTCAGTGGCAGTTCAAGAATCCAATGAAAGATGAATTGACTCCAACAAACACTTGTGTTAGTATCCAAGGGATGATCTGACAAGGAGAGGGCCAGTTTGGGTCTCCAATTTGAATGAAACTTAAACTTGGTGAGCATGTAATCCTAAACACAAAACTCCTTGTCCAAATAGGACCCACTTCTCAAGTGTTTCCAAAAAACAGTTCTCTGAAAATTGAGTGTTTAGCTTATAAGTCTGTGGAAGTTCCCATTCTCCTTCTATCAGTGATAGTTGAGTGGATGAAATGCGAGGCACTGATCTACATGATGTAGGTTTAAACCTTTAAGCACCATGTGCTTTGGATTTGTCAGTACTCTTGAGAAAAAATTGACTGGTGTCAGAAATCCTAACAATTTACATTGATCATAATCTAATCATGGTATAGTGAGACGCCCTGAACACACTATTTGTTTACTCAAAGATTTTCATGCTCTATTTACAGTAGCCACTGATCAAAAGAAATGGCAAGCAAAAACAAAGGTTATAAATGAATAGGGAGAAAACATTTTTATTGATACAACAATATGAAATGTTTCCAAAATTATAAAACATATCTTTATGCCATTCTTGTAGGTAGCCCTGATCTTAAATACAATGTACTAAAGACATTGTACTTTTAAACATGTCTTTAAAAAAATGTAGAGAAAGAGGCAAAGAAAAGCCAAAGCTTTAAAACAAATCAAAGTTTTAAAAAGTGCCAGGAAGTGAAATAACTGTAAAATGATAATTTAAGCTGATAAGTAAATGCTCACCCAAAAAAGTGATGTATCATCTTCCATTAATTCTTCTAATAACTTTATACAAATTCAATCCAAATACCCCTTAATTTTTTCTTTTGATTCATTAATACTATATAGGCACCTTGATAAGCATATATACAATTACAGGCACCTTGATAGTGCCTGTATTGTAAATGATTACAAATGTACTAGTATTTTTTCACATCAATGTTATGATAACACAGCATTAAGTGAAGACTTACTGTATGAATATTTTTATACATGGAAGATAAAACAAATTCAAGTCAAATGCTGCTTGTTGTTTTGGGACTGTGATAACAAAAGAGGATAATCATTGATTCGAGACAAAATTGTACTTTAATAAATGTGAATAAAAGGGATAAAATGGGCAAGTTGACTGCATATCTTTAAAGAATACAGCAGGAATTTTGTATTCGCTTAAATACTTATGAATATGATATGTTCAATGATAAACTAGTGGTGATGTTAGGAGTTAGAGGAAAAAGTAGGAGATGGCACAATGAAAAAATCTATTTTTGAACTGTTTAATATTATAATTTTTTAATAGTATTTATATTTAGTTTATCAAGTTTAGGATATGACAAAAATGTTCTCATTTAACTGTACAAAGTGTTTGCACAGTAAATAAAAACATTTTTGTCATGTCCTAAACTTGATAAACTAAATATACTATAAATACATATCTCCTATTGTTAAATTCTGCAAAATCTTATAAAAGCTTTATATTGAAATGGGTTTCATTTTATTTTACTAAAAGTATTTTATCTATTATCAAGATTTGGTCTAAAATTATAAATGATCTATTTATGCATCCAAAATAAAAAATTATAACACCCAATTCATTTAAATTATCTTTAATTATACTTTTACATATATGTAAAATGAAATACAAAATTTAAAATTTCTTACCATATTCCACACATATAGTAAAACTCCAATGCATGTATATAACAGCCATATGAAGAACAAAACAGGCTTCCAAGTAAGTTCAGTACGAGTAATAGCCCATCCTTTTGCCAACAGAAGCAATAAAAGCATGAATAAACTCTATAAATAAAATTACTTTTTTAATGTAAATAATTAAATAATTTATTATTAAATACATTAAATTCTATTTAAAAAAATAGGTATATTTGAAAAAACCAATTTTAAAATAAATTTTGAAACTGAAAATAATAATAATACTGTAATAATAATAATATACAGAGGATGATAATAGTTTATAACCAATTTTGAATAGTAATAATATTTTTATTAATACCCAAATTTGTAAAAAATATATTGTGTTTTATTGGCTTATTTTATGTGTATTTTAATTATAATATTGTATTGTTGAAGTATATATGTAACCCAGCCTAGAAAGCTATTAAAAAAGCCAAAGTGCATTCCAGGACACTAAGTGTTAATTAAAGAAATTGGAAAGGTCTATGACAAGTAGAATAATTATAACAATAAGGCCAGCAAGCATGTGTTTATTTACCACTATTTAATAGATTAATAAAATAAAAGATTATATTGGACCAAGTCTGTGTGTGAATATTTTTTCGATGAAAATACATAAAATAAACCAAAAGACAGATTGTATCACAATAGGAAACAACAAGCAAAACTTTTCTTTACTTAAGGATTCCAGACTAGAAGGCTTTTTCTGACAATGATTACTAGTAAGACTCAAGAACGCCTAGACAAAGAAAACCCAATAACTTATCTATTAGCTTACCTAGCTCACAATTATTTTACATTAATTGTTAATAGTTACCCAAAATATAGCCCAAATAATCTAACATTTAATGATTTAACTATTATAAAATAATCAGGCTTGGACAAAATGCATAAGAAATAAATGAGCAGCATGATATAAGTAATGGAAGAATATATTTAAAAATAACAATGGCACAAAAAGATACCATTTTCATACCATAGACATCAAATTTCATTTCTTGATATCATTCAGGACAACCAGATAGTGTGACAATCCAGGCTAGTGTTTTTGTAGTTTAGGAAATTTAATTATTTAATATTTGTTTGAAGAGAAAAAAATTACTTAAGCCTGAAATGACAAATACAATGGAGGAAGTTTGCAAGATTTTTTTCTTTGATAACATTTCCTTTGTAAGCAAAATTTTCTGGTAAAACCTACTCATCAAAGGAAACTTTGCCAAAAATTGGGGATGAACTAGCTCCTTGCACAAGTTCACTAAATTTAGGCATAAGGATGGAAAGGGATGAGACCAAAATAAAAGGAAAGGTGAGAGAAGGATACAGTAGAGGAAGAGATAGAAAGAAAATTCATCTGTTTGTTCATCATCATGATGACCCTCCACCATAGTGCTCTGCCACAACTGACCTCAGTTTCCCAAATGTCTGCTGATCCCTCAACTGCTTCACCTAGAAGAGCCCAATCAAGTTGGATGTGTGTGCTACCTATACAAGACAGACCTATTTAATTATACTTCCAAGAAAGGATAAATCCCAAACAGATTCCACAAACTCTTCCATCTAAATCTAAAAACATAACTTCCAAGACTCACTTGGAGATTAAAGTGATATTGCAGGTATATGTTGTCACATGAAATATGTATAAGCATAAGCTCTCTCTCTCTCTGATAAGTCTAATTTGACCTTAAGCACCTATTAGTTTATGATTATATGCATACAATAAGATTTAGTGATAAAAATGTTTGTTGTTGATTTGTTAACCAGTCTAGAGTACATTACTTTCATGTTCTGTCCCTTACCTGTAAGTTCCTTCATATGCAGTCGCTCACACATTTATCAAAAGATTCCAGTGAGCCAGAAGTCACAGATGATGTCAGACCTGATCCAAGGGGGCACAGTTTAACCTATCATAATAGATGTTTACTTTACAGACAACCCATTACACTAAGCATCAGATGAAAACTTCCATCACACAATACAATGTCTAATGTCTCACATGCAATCCTTAAGGTCAGCAAGTGAGGGCATATCATGAACACCTGATTTTTCAGATATATTACAAGAAGTCCAAAGTAGTCAAATCCAGCAACTGTGTCAGCCAATGAATGTCCCAAAATAAACAGCCTAGTTCTCAAGAAGCCAAGAGAGATCTTTAACTAGACACAAAATTCGTTTTCTGTCCAGACATGAACTAAGAATTAAGTCTAAGTACTAGCAAGTCTATAATATTGTTTTGGGGAGTCACCGACTATAATCACTTGTAGCTGCTGCTGGCATAAAAAAATATTTTTTAAATTACTGGTGCTCATGCTACTGACCTTGTATCTTGAAAATGAAATCTTGGACATTGATTTTTATAACATTTTTAATTTCCTCATCTCATATTATGTAAAATGACAAAATTTAATCAAAACAGACCAATCAAATTTTGAGAATAAACTCAATTCTATAAGCCACTAAAGCACTGCCTCAATATATGAAGAGGTTAACATTTTCATAATGTTAATCATTCATCATCAGATTGTTGTCCAACCTGATGACAGAATGACAATTACTTAGAAATAAAAATTAATGTTAATTTTAAATGTTTAAGATATATATATATTCTGATACCAAAAATTATCTGAGAAATTTTTACTGATAAAGTTTAATATATTTAATACCATATTTTCTCAATTCTAAGATGCACTTTTTTAAAATCATTTTTATTTGTCCAAAATAGAAATGTGTCTTAGAATCAACAGTGTCTTACATTAGAAGTCATTGTGAACAGCCATGCTAAGCTTCTTCATTTTTAATGACAAAATAGAACAGACAAACTTATTTAAACAAATTGTTATAATTTAGACCATCATCTTATTCTATTTTTTCCCCCTTGTTAATAAGCTTTATTCATCTTATTAAATTAATAAAACTTGAAAAATTCTGAGCAAAAGATGTTTAAGGGCCAGTTGCACAAATTTTAATCTCAAGGTTAAATGCACTTTAATCTACAGAATTCTTTGAACACAGCACAAATGTAAATCTTTGGGATAAACTGCCAGCTAAGTTAACCAACTAATTTTGGACAACTAAAATTTATTCTTTAGATTAGTGAAGAAACAAGACAACTGATCAACTCTGATTCTAATGTTGATAAACTTCATTTATACTATTTAAATGAAGTTTATCCTAATACAGGCAGAATATTTTTAAAAAAATCAGATCTTATAATGTGTAACTGCAAATTTGAAGAATTGATTTTGATTTAAAAATCTACAGTTCTATGTTACTTGGAGTTCAGGGAATCTTATTTTATATAACACAGTAATCACTTCTTGTTATAAAATACACATATTAAAATATTTTAGACAACATTTACCAAATCTACTAATATATATTTTCATCTATACTCCAATAAATTCCATGCTTTCACTTTTTCATTTTCCACTCATCCATTTTGTTTACTGTTACTCTTGATAATGTGACTGCACAGTAAAAATTTCTTAGCTAACTGGCCAATAGCTATCTGCCAAGTCAAAGTAACTCATACAAATGAGGGTAATTGTGCATATTAAGGGAATATGAATTTTTTTAATTATGTTATATTAAAAAGAATGTATATTTAATAGTCGTTCGGAAAACGCATAACGTTTTTCCGTCCGACCCGTATATAAAGAGCTATAAACAAAAAATCATAGGACTACTTACCGATTGTGCTCCGTTCGAGACGCCATTACTTAAGCTTGCCGTCGTCGTGGAGGTGCACACTGGACGGCGGATGCACGCGAAGCATATCACGTGACCCAATTTCAACGTCACTCAGTCACGTGACTAGGTCTCTGACGCGTTTCCGGCAGCTTTTCTTCTCGCGGAATAATCCGTTTTCTTTGCACTAACACGTCATAGAGCAAACCACGTCTTATTATTAACACGTGATTAACTCTTGTCACTTCGACAGCTCGCGGACTACAGTTTGACAACTTTGCCTAGTTACGCTTTTCTAACATCGTAACGTTCTATATCCAAATCCCAGTTAATATTTGACATCGACGATTTATTTTTCGATGTTAACTCCGTAAAAACAGAACAAATGAAATAATAAATAATCGAATTACTTTAAAATTCAGATTAAATGCTATAAAACTATAAATTTAATATCTAAATTTACAAACACGTATGTCTTATACTAGCTGACCCGGCCACGCGTTGTTGTGGCTCAAAATGTATCTATTATAAATGTGTAACACTTCCCCCGTGGGGGGAATTTCAAAAAATCCCTTCTTAGTGTACATTCTGTTGACGTAACCTATTAAAACACAATTAAAAACGCAAAAAACCGCATGTAAAATAGTATAAATAGAAGCAGAGTTCTTCACAGTAAGCCTTAATCCTGTCCATCTCCCCCCCCCGTAGGGGGAATTTCGACATGTATATTATATAAAAACACGTGCATATTCGAATCCAACGTTGTGTCAAAATTTCAAAGGAATCGGTAGGAACAAACAAACGTTATATTTTATTTATATAGATAGATAGAAAATGATCTGCTTTAGTCCATTCTCACAGAAAAGCAAACTTAAGTCGTAGGAAGTTAGTGCTATCTGTTGGACATGAAAGCCTTAATCCATATATAAATATATTTTTGAAAGGGGGGAAATGGTGGTCTTCACATATGCCACAAACCTTCGCAGGAGTGTATTAAACAACTTCCCGAAGTTTCATGGCAATCGGATAAATGGTGTGGTAATGCATGAAGGACAGACACACAGACATACATTGTAAATTTAGATATTAAATTTATAGTTTTATAGCATTTAATCTGAATTTTAAAGTAATTCGATTATTTATTATTTCATTTGTTCTGTTTTTACGGAGTTAACANTGAAACTTAAACTTGGTGAGCATGTAATCCTAAACACAAAACTCCTTGTCCAAATAGGACCCACTTCTCAAGTGTTTCCAAAAAACAGTTCTCTGAAAATTGAGTGTTTAGCTTATAAGTCTGTGGAAGTTCCCATTCTCCTTCTATCAGTGATAGTTGAGTGGATGAAATGCGAGGCACTGATCTACATGATGTAGGTTTAAACCTTTAAGCACCATGTGCTTTGGATTTGTCAGTACTCTTGAGAAAAAATTGACTGGTGTCAGAAATCCTAACAATTTACATTGATCATAATCTAATCATGGTATAGTGAGACGCCCTGAACACACTATTTGTTTACTCAAAGATTTTCATGCTCTATTTACAGTAGCCACTGATCAAAAGAAATGGCAAGCAAAAACAAAGGTTATAAATGAATAGGGAGAAAACATTTTTATTGATACAACAATATGAAATGTTTCCAAAATTATAAAACATATCTTTATGCCATTCTTGTAGGTAGCCCTGATCTTAAATACAATGTACTAAAGACATTGTACTTTTAAACATGTCTTTAAAAAAATGTAGAGAAAGAGGCAAAGAAAAGCCAAAGCTTTAAAACAAATCAAAGTTTTAAAAAGTGCCAGGAAGTGAAATAACTGTAAAATGATAATTTAAGCTGATAAGTAAATGCTCACCCAAAAAAGTGATGTATCATCTTCCATTAATTCTTCTAATAACTTTATACAAATTCAATCCAAATACCCCTTAATTTTTTCTTTTGATTCATTAATACTATATAGGCACCTTGATAAGCATATATACAATTACAGGCACCTTGATAGTGCCTGTATTGTAAATGATTACAAATGTACTAGTATTTTTTCACATCAATGTTATGATAACACAGCATTAAGTGAAGACTTACTGTATGAATATTTTTATACATGGAAGATAAAACAAATTCAAGTCAAATGCTGCTTGTTGTTTTGGGACTGTGATAACAAAAGAGGATAATCATTGATTCGAGACAAAATTGTACTTTAATAAATGTGAATAAAAGGGATAAAATGGGCAAGTTGACTGCATATCTTTAAAGAATACAGCAGGAATTTTGTATTCGCTTAAATACTTATGAATATGATATGTTCAATGATAAACTAGTGGTGATGTTAGGAGTTAGAGGAAAAAGTAGGAGATGGCACAATGAAAAAATCTATTTTTGAACTGTTTAATATTATAATTTTTTAATAGTATTTATATTTAGTTTATCAAGTTTAGGATATGACAAAAATGTTCTCATTTAACTGTACAAAGTGTTTGCACAGTAAATAAAAACATTTTTGTCATGTCCTAAACTTGATAAACTAAATATACTATAAATACATATCTCCTATTGTTAAATTCTGCAAAATCTTATAAAAGCTTTATATTGAAATGGGTTTAATTTTATTTTACTAAAAGTATTTTATCTATTATCAAGATTTGGTCTAAAATTATAAATGATCTATTTATGCATCCAAAATAAAAAATTATAACACCCAATTCATTTAAATTATCTTTAATTATACTTTTACATATATGTAAAATGAAATACAAAATTTAAAATTTCTTACCATATTCCACACATATAGTAAAACTCCAATGCATGTATATAACAGCCATATGAAGAACAAAACAGGCTTCCAAGTAAGTTCAGTACGAGTAATAGCCCATCCTTTTGCCAACAGAAGCAATAAAAGCATGAATAAACTCTATAAATAAAATTACTTTTTTAATGTAAATAATTAAATAATTTATTATTAAATACATTAAATTCTATTTAAAAAAATAGGTATATTTGAAAAAACCAATTTTAAAATAAATTTTGAAACTGAAAATAATAATAATACTGTAATAATAATAATATACAGAGGATGATAATAGTTTATAACCAATTTTGAATAGTAATAATATTTTTATTAATACCCAAATTTGTAAAAAATATATTGTGTTTTATTGGCTTATTTTATGTGTATTTTAATTATAATATTGTATTGTTGAAGTATATATGTAACCCAGCCTAGAAAGCTATTAAAAAAGCCAAAGTGCATTCCAGGACACTAAGTGTTAATTAAAGAAATTGGAAAGGTCTATGACAAGTAGAATAATTATAACAATAAGGCCAGCAAGCATGTGTTTATTTACCACTATTTAATAGATTAATAAAATAAAAGATTATATTGGACCAAGTCTGTGTGTGAATATTTTTTCGATGAAAATACATAAAATAAACCAAAAGACAGATTGTATCACAATAGGAAACAACAAGCAAAACTTTTCTTTACTTAAGGATTCCAGACTAGAAGGCTTTTTCTGACAATGATTACTAGTAAGACTCAAGAACGCCTAGACAAAGAAAACCCAATAACTTATCTATTAGCTTACCTAGCTCACAATTATTTTACATTAATTGTTAATAGTTACCCAAAATATAGCCCAAATAATCTAACATTTAATGATTTAACTATTATAAAATAATCAGGCTTGGACAAAATGCATAAGAAATAAATGAGCAGCATGATATAAGTAATGGAAGAATATATTTAAAAATAACAATGGCACAAAAAGATACCATTTTCATACCATAGACATCAAATTTCATTTCTTGATATCATTCAGGACAACCAGATAGTGTGACAATCCAGGCTAGTGTTTTTGTAGTTTAGGAAATTTAATTATTTAATATTTGTTTGAAGAGAAAAAAATTACTTAAGCCTGAAATGACAAATACAATGGAGGAAGTTTGCAAGATTTTTTTCTTTGATAACATTTCCTTTGTAAGCAAAATTTTCTGGTAAAACCTACTCATCAAAGGAAACTTTGCCAAAAATTGGGGATGAACTAGCTCCTTGCACAAGTTCACTAAATTTAGGCATAAGGATGGAAAGGGATGAGACCAAAATAAAAGGAAAGGTGAGAGAAGGATACAGTAGAGGAAGAGATAGAAAGAAAATTCATCTGTTTGTTCATCATCATGATGACCCTCCACCATAGTGCTCTGCCACAACTGACCTCAGTTTCCCAAATGTCTGCTGATCCCTCAACTGCTTCACCTAGAAGAGCCCAATCAAGTTGGATGTGTGTGCTACCTATACAAGACAGACCTATTTAATTATACTTCCAAGAAAGGATAAATCCCAAACAGATTCCACAAACTCTTCCATCTAAATCTAAAAACATAACTTCCAAGACTCACTTGGAGATTAAAGTGATATTGCAGGTATATGTTGTCACATGAAATATGTATAAGCATAAGCTCTCTCTCTCTCTGATAAGTCTAATTTGACCTTAAGCACCTATTAGTTTATGATTATATGCATACAATAAGATTTAGTGATAAAAATGTTTGTTGTTGATTTGTTAACCAGTCTAGAGTACATTACTTTCATGTTCTGTCCCTTACCTGTAAGTTCCTTCATATGCAGTCGCTCACACATTTATCAAAAGATTCCAGTGAGCCAGAAGTCACAGATGATGTCAGACCTGATCCAAGGGGGCACAGTTTAACCTATCATAATAGATGTTTACTTTACAGACAACCCATTACACTAAGCATCAGATGAAAACTTCCATCACACAATACAATGTCTAATGTCTCACATGCAATCCTTAAGGTCAGCAAGTGAGGGCATATCATGAACACCTGATTTTTCAGATATATTACAAGAAGTCCAAAGTAGTCAAATCCAGCAACTGTGTCAGCCAATGAATGTCCCAAAATAAACAGCCTAGTTCTCAAGAAGCCAAGAGAGATCTTTAACTAGACACAAAATTCGTTTTCTGTCCAGACATGAACTAAGAATTAAGTCTAAGTACTAGCAAGTCTATAATATTGTTTTGGGGAGTCACCGACTATAATCACTTGTAGCTGCTGCTGGCATAAAAAAATATTTTTTAAATTACTGGTGCTCATGCTACTGACCTTGTATCTTGAAAATGAAATCTTGGACATTGATTTTTATAACATTTTTAATTTCCTCATCTCATATTATGTAAAATGACAAAATTTAATCAAAACAGACCAATCAAATTTTGAGAATAAACTCAATTCTATAAGCCACTAAAGCACTGCCTCAATATATGAAGAGGTTAACATTTTCATAATGTTAATCATTCATCATCAGATTGTTGTCCAACCTGATGACAGAATGACAATTACTTAGAAATAAAAATTAATGTTAATTTTAAATGTTTAAGATATATATATATTCTGATACCAAAAATTATCTGAGAAATTTTTACTGATAAAGTTTAATATATTTAATACCATATTTTCTCAATTCTAAGATGCACTTTTTTAAAATCATTTTTATTTGTCCAAAATAGAAATGTGTCTTAGAATCAACAGTGTCTTACATTAGAAGTCATTGTGAACAGCCATGCTAAGCTTCTTCATTTTTAATGACAAAATAGAACAGACAAACTTATTTAAACAAATTGTTATAATTTAGACCATCATCTTATTCTATTTTTTCCCCCTTGTTAATAAGCTTTATTCATCTTATTAAATTAATAAAACTTGAAAAATTCTGAGCAAAAGATGTTTAAGGGCCAGTTGCACAAATTTTAATCTCAAGGTTAAATGCACTTTAATCTACAGAATTCTTTGAACACAGCACAAATGTAAATCTTTGGGATAAACTGCCAGCTAAGTTAACCAACTAATTTTGGACAACTAAAATTTATTCTTTAGATTAGTGAAGAAACAAGACAACTGATCAACTCTGATTCTAATGTTGATAAACTTCATTTATACTATTTAAATGAAGTTTATCCTAATACAGGCAGAATATTTTTAAAAAAATCAGATCTTATAATGTGTAACTGCAAATTTGAAGAATTGATTTTGATTTAAAAATCTACAGTTCTATGTTACTTGGAGTTCAGGGAATCTTATTTTATATAACACAGTAATCACTTCTTGTTATAAAATACACATATTAAAATATTTTAGACAACATTTACCAAATCTACTAATATATATTTTCATCTATACTCCAATAAATTCCATGCTTTCACTTTTTCATTTTCCACTCATCCATTTTGTTTACTGTTACTCTTGATAATGTGACTGCACAGTAAAAATTTCTTAGCTAACTGGCCAATAGCTATCTGCCAAGTCAAAGTAACTCATACAAATGAGTATGGCTTACTCATTAAATTAAATTTATTCCACAGATGGTATTCTGTATATTAAATGGTAACTCATGCAACCAGTCCTAAATAAATTAGAAATCTTTAGTTTATAAACCAAAACAAACAGTTAGTTCTGAAGCTCAACCCTTTTATAAGAATTCAATAGATTTTTAAAATATGAAATAAAAATTATCAAATCTTAAACTGGTATAAAATAAAAAAATTATTATAAATACATTATCATCATGTTGGGTGTACTGGGTTATACTCAATAGACAGCAGTTGCCGTGTACTATGCAAGACCAGAATCAAGGCATAGCAACCAAAACAAGACAAAAATTAAATAAGTGTGTCAGTGTGTGTCTGTATTCAGGAATTTCTTAACAATATGACATTTATTCAATATAGTGACCTTCTGTAGTGTGATGTATGTGTTTTTATTCTACTGTAATGTTCCCAGGCTTTTGTGTAATGTATGTGGTATCACACCCATAGAGGAAAGAACAACAGATACAATAAGCACCTTATCCATCCTCCACAGATGCCTTATTTCCTGGGCGAGTTCTGTGTACTTGCTGATTTTTTCAGTGCATGTGTTTTGTATATTGTGAGTGTTTGGAATGAATATGTCTACAATGTATGTAATTTTATTGTGTTTGTCAATGAGTGTGATGTCTGATTTGTTGTGGTAAATTGTTTTTTCTGTGATTTTGTGTGTGTTGTTTTTCCAATAGTCTGTGGAATATATTTGTAGTATGGTTTGTAGATGTCTAATAATTTGTGTTTATTTGCAAGCTCTTTGTGTATTATATTTGCTACTTGATTATGTCTATGTAAATAATCTGTCTGTGCCAAGAGCTTGCAACCAGAAGTAATGTGTTGTATAGTTTCTGGCATAATGTGATATTTTCTGCATGTGTCATTTGTGAGTATTGTGTTGAGTAAGTGTTTTCTGTAGATTTTAGTATTTATGACTGATCCTGATCCTGTATGGCAATCATGAATCCTTCCATCTCCCCAAAGAAACATCCCTGAGCTAACCAGCTGTATCAAATCTGTTTGATACAGTTTTGTCAACAAAATCCTGGGCTAGGTTGTAGGGATGTCTGCCACGGAATGCCTTTCAAGATCACGATTGCTTAATAGTGTCTATGCTTTTTATATGTTGTGTCATGTTCACATGATATGAGTGTAATTTTAATGGTGTGTTGTGTCTGCTAGAGTTACTGCTTTATGTAACTGTGATGTTTCTTATTTTTTTGTAGCAAAACTCTTGCAGTGTCTGTACTTGTTTGTTTGTGTATCTGTATTTACTGTCAATCAGGCCACATCCATCATCTTTATGAGGAATATTTAATCTTTCTATGGTGGATTTAGGATGCTGTTGTTTATGCTTAGTAAGTGTTGTTCTTGTTTTCCTTTGGAGTTGCTCAAGATCTGTGTGAGTCCAATGTATAACTCCAAAAGAATATGTGAGTACTGGGACAACATACGTGTAAAGATAATTACCTGGTAATTACCACCATGGTAATTATCTCCATGGAAGAAGGGTGTGGTCACTCTTAACTTCATTTCTCCCCATAGACCTTACTGGCATGGGTGTCCCTACCAGGAGCTTGTGCTCCAGCTGGCATTGCTCTATGGATCAGTAAAATTACTGGGCTCTCCCACCATGATCAGGTGATGACCATGGGAAAGTTATTATTATTAATTACAAACATGAGAATAAGATTAATGAGTTCCTATGAAAATTAACCTATTCTTAAAAATATAAAAACAAAAGTAAAACAGACTGCTTGTTAAGGATAAGGAAGCCAAAAATAAAATTTTATTATATCCTATGAATCTATGAGCACCAAGTTTTTGGGCTCTATGGAGAAATTATGCACTATTAATGTTGTTGGAGTAATCACATAGAAGTGGATAAACACAGGTTTATTATGACAATGGTATGCATTTTGGACAGGCTGTCTGTCTCTTTTCAGCTGTATTTGTTACAATATGATAGGTTTACAGGCATTTAAAAGGTACATTCTATTTTGTTGCTAATGTGTGGATGACTTCATTTTTGGGATTTTTTACAGACATTATATTATGTTTTCTGTACAAATAGCAACCAGACATTATAATTGTTGCTTAATGAAATTAATTGTGAAGTAAATAAAGGTTTTGCAGTCAGTCAGCTTGTACAAACAAAATTTAAGAGTTTTCTTAAATTTTGTAACTGATGTTTTCTACTACAGAAATGATGCTACTATAAGGTGGTATCCAGTTTTGGTAATATAAGTATTAAGTATTCATATTTTAACATAAGGACAAAAAGTAAATCACCAATCTAGCATGTCCTATGTTTGTCTTTCCTAACAAACAGTTTGTTTCATTTTGTTTAAATATGGTACTAAGTTTCATTTCTAAATATAAAAAACAAAAATTTAAAACTATTTACTTGAGTTAATAGATGCAATACATCACCAACAACAGCCAAACCTTCTACTCCAATGCCATCTACAGCAAATTTAACTTTATGTATAAAATTACAAGATACAGATAGTAGTTGTAGTACAACAGAGATAGTAAATAAACGTGTAATATGATGATGCTGATGCAAAGCTGCATACAACTGAAGTGGAACCAAAACCAAATACACAGAAAAGAAACCTAAATACAGTTCAACTGTGCCCTATAATAAAAATATTAAGATTATGCTTTCATTTATAATAAATAAACACATTTAACAATTTTTATTTTCAAATACATAAAAATATCTTTAATGTAAGCAAAACTTACTTGTTGATCAAATGAAAACTGAAATTCAAAAGGATATTGAGAACCATATGGATTTCCATTGACTAACCAAAGATCATAATTTATATTAATATTTTCATTTGTGGAATCTTTCCAAGTACAGTTGCGACCTTCTCCTTCACGATAACAAGAAACCAATGTAACATACCAGAATCTATTGAAAAGAAATATAGATCTTCTTAAACATAACATATACAAAATAAAAATTACCAGTTTAAACATGTACAAAAATATTCAAATTTTAACCTTGTTGTTCCTTTGCCTGTTTTTTAATGTATTTAATTATTTGCATTACACTTTTCTAAAACTAAAATAAATTTACTTTAACTTGATTAAATAAATAACTTAAATTTAAAGATAAAATTATTTAATTATATGATAAGTATCTCTAATATTACACAAAATAAGAGAATTATATCTATACTTTCAAAAATTCTCGATCATCTTTACTATAATATCTGTTCAGAAAACTTTTCAAATAATAAAGCTTCATTTTATACACAAATTTAAAAATAAATTTTTGTTTTTATCAAAATTATGCACTATCTCTCTTAATGATCATTCAGACATATAGTTGATGGTTTGTAACCACTTACTACTAAATGGTTCAGTGCAGTAAAAGAGTGTCCAGGTTAGTACAGTTGAGTATGCAATATGCTTCAAGATGGACAAACAAATGTATTTGTGTAGCACTGAATACAATAGACAATACAAGGGGAGTGCTACAGAAATTTAAGATCTCCCCATTGATAAAAAAAAATAATAATTATAATAATATTTGTTCAAATTTCAAAACATTGTTTTTAAAACTTTTGTCAGAAAATATGGTTTATCAGATCATCTGCCATGCAATTGTCACGCATATGTTAATAAGAAGGTACTTATTAATTATTCAAGTATTTTCAATTTTTGAATTAGATCCCTTTGGGTACTTCTGGATCATCTACTGACTGAATAATGCTATAGAAAATATTGAACTAATGAACTCAATTAAAAGCAATTGTATCTGGCTAGTTACAGTGGGAGAGCTGCTATTCAATGAAGAAAAACACAAGTGAAGAGGTTTACTGAACTACTTGACAAAATTTTACTGTTCATAGCAAGTTACTAAATTACTTGTCTCTCAACTAAATTATTGAACATGTCTAAATAAGCCATTACAAATATTTATCTAAAAATGTCTAAATGTTTGTTATGCATAGTGGTTAAAAGATGGCATATTTAAGCAAGTGTACTTACAAAAATTTTGATTGTTTTATAATTTTTGGTAATCACTGAACCAATAGAGTTAGAACAAGAACAGCTATAATGCGATCTTGGAATGGTAAAAACAAAACTTTTCAAACAGCATACATGATAACATGAGCAACCCAGGATATTTTCAATTAAAAATTGAATTTTGACTATTTACAAAAAATTTTTTAATTTTTCGAGTCTATCTTTCATCCTTTTAACACACCACAGAAGTAACAGTATATTGGCTTGGATGAACTTCCACAGAATATTGGCTTGGATGAACTTCCACATTGTTTTAATGTTAAAAAACGCTGAATCCTCAAATAAAAGGTCGGCGTTTCGATCGTTTTTAACTTTGTGTGTGTTTCGTTATAATTTATCACGTGTTCTGTGGAAGTTCATCCAAGCCAATATACTGTTACTTCTGTGGTGTGTTAAAAGGATGAAAGATAGACTCGAAAAATTAAAAAAAAAAAATTTTTTTGTAAATAGTCAAAATTCAATTTTTAAAACTTTTCAAAATAAACAAACTGACACATTAACACTAATAGTAAGAACATCAATATAATAAACACCTGCCATGTCAATCTTTTTTGATTAACCCATTTTTGAATTAATTCAGGCCAAAGCAGTGTTGCATAAACATGTTTTTTTAACATTTAATCTTTAGTTACAAATAGCTAAATTAGCAAAACTTAAAAATATACCAAGTGACAAATTTAACATATTTTAAAAATTGTTTAAATTGAAGAAAGAATTTTTTAAATGTGTTAGATTGGTCATTTGGTGTGATAAACCCTTATGTAAGATAACCTTTGTAGTTATATAAATCAAATACTATAATATAACAAACATTAAAATGAAAACCATATAAAGAGTTCGGTTGTTTCAGCCTACCACTGTCATGTTTATTGCGATACTTGGATGGCAGGGTATATTCTAAGCAAAATTCATCACTTCCTGAAAAAAAACTATGTACAGTAATACCCCAAACTTATGCGATAGGTGGGACCGAGCGGTAACCGCGTAAGTCGAATTTGCGTAAGTCGGGGTATAATTTTGCATATAAATACATTCAAGTAATTTTTAATTGGGGCCGGAGACTAAAGAAAACAATAATTTAAAAAAAAATGTTTAATAAAATCTTAGATAATACATATGTATAACAAATTAGGCCTATATTATTTTACAATTTTTCACATTTACTTGATTATTACGCCATAATTTTAATATCGTTTCCATCTCAGCGATAATACTGTGACGTTTACGAATGATGCTTGAATTTAAAGATTGAGCATTTTTCACAGCTTCGAGAATTTTTTCTTTGCCTTTTATAATTGTTCTGACCGACAATTCCGGTAGATCAAACTTCTTTGCCAATTCACAAATTTTCATTTTTGTATCGAAGTCTTTAATAATGGGTACGTTCGTAAAGTCAAACGAGTTAAACGCGTTAGTAACGAATCGTTCGAAAAGTCTAACGAAATAGGAATAACGATGACGTCATTCTCGTTTAACTCGTTCGACTTTACGAACATACCCAATGTTAACTTTACATTCCAAAGATAAAGTTTTTCTTTCCTTGTTTGATGCAGAAGAATTAGTTCTACTTCGTTTGGATGACATAGTAGAGTCTATCAAGTCTCCGTAGATATAACAAACAGAAATAAATAACACAAAATAAATTGTAGCTATGTGTCGATTCCGCGCGACACATCCGAACATGTAAGCTGAACAATAGTGTGGTGGGAGTGAGTAATCAAGGGTTGCGTGGCACTCAAACAAAAGGCGAATCGACGAGATTTGAAAATCGCGTAACTTCAGTTTCGCGTAAGTCGGGGTAGTGTAAGTCGGGGTATTACTGTATATATATATATAACACCCAATAACCCCATAATTTACAATGTATACTATAAACCCCATAACCCGGATGAAATTTTGAAAACAAATCCTTACAAGAAATTTTAATATATTTGATAAATTTAAAAAATTATCCTACTCCAGTGATTGTATTTGCAAGAATCATTGCTGCTAAACCTCACAGTGCAGACGTTGAAAGGTTAATTAGTTGTAACAATATTTTAAAAAACGTCAGACAGATTGTTATTATAAGCATCAACAGAAGTTCCTATACTTATATATTTAGTATAATACGCCTTTGTTGGATAAACAAAATCCAAAACCTTCTACATCAAATTGGATCACAGCAAAAAATCATAGAGATAACAGTTGCCCAAATACTAAGGAACAAAACTGGTACAAAGGTATATTTGATTTTTCTGATATAGAATCAACAGAACAAAAGGAAAAAATAGTCAATGTGAACCAAAGAAGAAAAAAACAATGCTTCATTTGAATTTAATTGCATGAGCCAGAAATAATAAAACAAGTAATTTTAATGTAATTTTGTTTCAATAAACCTGTCTTGTTTTTATATCGGAATATAAACGAGTTAATGAGAATACAATAAATTTTTCGTCAACAATCATATTTAAAATTTTTTAAATTTAGTTTAGGTAATTAATTTTACTACTACTGAAATTCAGATCAGATTCGTCACTATCTGTTTTGGATTTATCACTACCTTTTTCGTCACAACTACCGCTTAGAATATACCCTGTTGAATGGTGCCAAGTGGCACAGTTTCATTGGTCAAGTAGACAGCAAATGAAAATATGATATCTTAAATTTTTTAAGATAACATACTGTATTTTTTTCTAACATTAGCTCTAACAAACTGTTTCATTCACATGCTGAATATCAAATGATGAGCCATCAACAAATCAAATTTAGCAAAAAATAAACCAAATATTTAAACTTGGCATCCTTGAAAACCACTTAAAGCATATTTTGTGCTCACTGGTAACCTTGTATTATGTAATTTTTCCATTCAAATGCAATCATACTGCTGGTCTGATAGAAAGAAGGGACTGTTAAGGAAGGGGGTTGAAGTAATTTGACTAAAAGTAATTATTGACCACCTCCTGGGAGAGAGGATGGTCAATTACTACTACTTAATACTGGTCTATTATTAATTAATAATGTTTGAAAAGTGATCTGTGTTAGACATGTTGTGATGGCCCAGCATATGATTGATATTGCTAACCTTAACATCTGAAAGACTTCATATAATACTCATTTAAATAAAAAATCTTGTAAAAATGTGAGAATAATTTCTTTTATGTAATAAAAAAAAAAAAAAAACACACAGGTAAAACCAGGATAAAAGGAAAGCTCAGCAAAAACATCTAAGTAAAGGAAACTTTTGAAAGTTGTCATAAGAATAGTGGAAGCAGATTTGACAGTAAGACTTAACAGCTTCTTGATAACAAGCACTGAGTTCAGCGTTAATACGAATTTTCTTATATCGCAAGTACTTTCGACAAGTATTATATTGTTGTCCTCAGGCGAAAAAGAACAAATTTGAAAAATAGAACACTAAAAGTTCTATTTTTGAAATTTGTTCTTTTTCTTAAAATAGAACTTGCAGTGTTCTATTTTTCAAATTTGTTCTTTTTCGCCTGAGGACGAAGATATAATACTCGTTGAAAGTACTTGCGATATAAGAAAATTCGTATTAACGCTGAACTCAGTGCTTGTTATCAAAAAGCTATACAATTTTGGCATGAGTTTCATTTATTTATATCTATTTCTAAGACTTAACATGTGAATAAAGTGCACATTATACAGACAACTATAGGAAATTTTGAATAAAGCAATGTCACCATGATAATAAATAGGAAAAAATAATCATTGGCACAGAAAAAGACTTCCAGCTCTACTTTGTGCCTTAAAATTGTTGCACATACATTAATTTGGCTGAACGTTAGAGCATCTTAAAACAGTATCAGTGAAAGAAGTTTGGGCAATGGTTTGAGTTAATTAGGGAGATGAAATGAGGGGAGGGAATGTCTAGGT